ACTGCAGAAGTATATAGGATTTTAGCAATGAATTAGGCAAACACCTTACAGGTAAAAAATAATACTTTCATTAATACACTCAAGATATTCTTTCCATCAAGGAGAAGATACAGCTGAAGAGCCAATTATGAACTTGGAATACAATATTGAGGAGTTTGTTTAGGATGCAGTACAGAGAGACTGGAATTAGAAAGTTAAGGTAGATGAGGAATAGAAAGAACAGGGCCCATAGATATTGTGAATTTCAGAATGAAATCAGTGAGGACAATGTCTGCGACAGTATGAAAGGCCAATTGTTGGTCTTTTACAGAGATGTAGCAAGAACTTGCAGTTGCTAGGGTGCATGTGTCTATACATGAAATGTGTCTTGCTATTTCGCAGCAAAGGGAAGGAAATTGAAGGGAGAAAATGCCAAAAGATATGGGGAAAATACAGTCAAGGAATTAACTGTCAGTGAGGCATTCTATACTCACCCAAATTATCATTAAGGGGCAAAGGTGAAGGGGTCAGCAGGGGAGAAATGCATACATATGAGAGACTTGGGCGTGTCCGACCTGCTTGGACTCGTATCTCCTATGTTAAACCTTCATGTCAGGCTCAGCGTGTCTCCCACAACTGATTATGCCTCTGTTTTCTCTTTACCTCTAATGTGAATGTACTAGGATTTGGGCATCACAATTCCACTGAAACCGTGGCATAAGATTGAGGTGGAAATTATTATGACCTACAGAATAGAAGGACCTCAGGGTCATCTGTGAGGTGCCACAGTTGGCTCATACTTGTGAAAGTTGATTCTGTTCCCAGCTGTGTATCCAGTGCATTCAAACTGGCATCTTGAAGTTGGGCATGAAGGGAGTATTTACCAAAGAAACAGATAATGTAAACAAATCAGAACACTGAGAAAAAGTGATGTTTTCATAGAGCTGGTTTGCCAGCACACCACCTGGCTGTCGCTTCAAACACCTTGCGCCCATTCATAAATTTATTTATTTATTTTTGGCTGTGTTGGGTCTTCATTGCTGCGCACAGGCTTTCTCTAGTTGTGGCAAGTGGGGGCTACTCTTTGTTGCAGTGCGTGGGCTTCTCATTGCGGTGGTTTCTGTTGTAGGTGCGTGGGCTTCAGTAGCTGTGGCACACAGGCTCAGTAGTTGTGGCTCACGGGCTCTAGAGCACAGGCTCAGTAGTTGTGGCACACTGGCTTAGTTGCTCCATGGCATGTGGGATCTTCCTGGCTTGAACCCCTGTCCCCTGCATTGGCATGTGGATTCTTAACCACTGCGCCACCAGGGAAGTCCACCTTGTGCTCATTCAAACTGATGGTATTTTGGCAGAAACTCTTCTGTGTATCATTTTGGAGGGGAATAAGACTTGAGGGGGTCCAGAGAGGGTTTTCGGAAATGGTTTTGGATTTATGTGTTTTAAACTAGACCTGAATTTCACCCATGTACTCAGTTGCTTAAAACATTCTGGTTCTAGGCTGAAGGGATCGAGGTCAATAGCACACACCAGTGAGTGTGGAAATTAGAAATAAAGCAAAATGTATTACAAGAAAGTGGCAGAGCATGAAGGTGACTTTAGGTGTGAACCCAAACCTGCGATGCGGATGTAGCCTCAAATCACAGGAGTAAAAAAAAAAGGGGGAGTAGTCAAGAATAATCAGTAATGGTAAGGAGGGAAATTACCACACTTTAATTACAGAAGAGTCTCTACAGGCAACAACCCAGGCATTTCCTGCATGCCAGCGTTTATACACCTTGAAATTCTCAGCAGACACTTCCCTCAATTCATACTGCAGATTTGCCTCCCAAACCTAGTCATACAAGTATCGAACTCACCGAATGGTGGGTTTGTTCCCTCTGTGTTTACCTCCTGGCTGCATCTTGCGTTCCTCCGTGGCCGTGTTGAGCCTGAAAGAGCAGAATCCTGAGGCCCAGCAGGATTGAGCCGGCCATGCCCGTCTGGATGAGAGTCTCCACTGTGTAGTCTTGGGGGTGTGAGGCTAGGAACTGTGGAAAAAGAGGTCACAGAGGTCAGAGCAGACCCCAATCACCCCAGCATCCCTGCATGTCCACTCAGGTCACCTGCATTCCATTAACAGGTTGTGACCCTCGGAGCCCAACCCAAAATTGAGAATTTCTGCTACTCATCACTGTTGGCGTCTGACATATTTTGTGATGGACTGAGAATGTCAGTTACCCCTGAGAACAAAAAAGACAGGGTATGGGTGAGGAGATGCAGAAATGCTTAAGTAATCTCTTTGATCTTGAATGAGTCTCTGGAACTAAACATGCCAGTCCCGGTACCTGGAGGTGAGCATCTCCAGTGTCTCATTTGCATCTAATTAGGAGGCAAGGATGAACACGTGGGGTTTCAATTTGTCCTGAAAGGATGCAGACCTGAAGTGTCAGGGTTGCCCTTATGGCCTCAGTTTCCCAAGATGTCACTCCATAGCCGTCCTCAGACTGGTCGCCATCAGCCCAGACCTCCTCTTCTCCCCTCAGGTGACGGGGGTGGTGGTTGTGGAGCTGCAGCAGGAGGTCTGGGGAGAGCTCACTCACCTTGACCCGGCCCCATAGGCCCCGACACAGCCCTGGGCTTCTATGTAGCAATAACACATACAACAACTACAACATAAAGGGGTAAGAATAAAGAGACCTATAGATTTGTAAGGGTTCTACATTTCCCTTGAAGAGGTAAAATACTAGCTCTATCTTTACTGTGTAAAGTTAGGTATGTACCTGATAATCTCTAGAACAGCCACTTCAACAGCAGTCACAGACTTACAGCTACAGCACCAATAGAGAAATTAAAGTGGTATGCTAAAAATGTTTTTAAATCCTAGGAAAGGGTAAATAGAAGAACAAGAAAGAGAGGGGACAAAACTTGAAAAAAATAAAATGACAAACCTAAATAACAGCGTTATCAGTAATAATATTATATGTAAATGGGCGAAACACAGCAATTAAAAGAGCTTGTAAGATTGGTTTAAGAAAAAAACCACCACCTACACTATGAAGTCCATAAGAAACTCACTTCTTTTTTTAAAAAATAAATTTATTTATTTATTTTTGGCTGTGTTGGGCCTTCATCGCTGTGCATGGGCTTTCTCTAGTTGCGGTGAGCGGGGGCTACTCTCTGTTGCGGTGCGCCGGCCTCTTATTGCGGTGGCTTCTCTTGTTGTGGAGCATGGGCTGTAGGTGCGCTGGCTTTAGTAGTTGTGGCGTGAGGGCTCAGTAGTTGTGGCGCACGGGCCTAGTTGCACGTGGGATCCTCCCAGACCAGGGATCGAACCCGTGTTCCCTCCATTGGCAGGAGGATTCCCAGCCACTGCACCACCAGGGAAGTCCCAGAAACTCACTTCTGATATAACATGTAAATAGGTTAAAAGTAAAAGAGTGAACAATATGAATGAACCTTGGAAACATTATTCAAAGTGAAATAAGGCTGACACAGAATGTCGCATTTTGTATGATTTCACCTACACGAACAGCCTAGCGTAGCTAGACTCCCTAAGGCAGGAATTTGAATGGAGATAACCAGTGCCTGGTTCTCAGGGGGCATGGGGAATTCTTGCTTAATGGGTACAGAGCTTCTGTTTGGGATTATGAAAATGTTCTGGAAGACGGACAGTGGTCATGATTGCCGAACATGGTAAATGTACTTAAGGCCACTAACTTCGCACTTTAATAATGTTTAAATGGTGGTGAGTATCATGGTGTGTATATTCTACCACATTAAAAAAGTAGAAGGATGAAAAATTACTATGCAAACACTAATCAAAAGAAAATTCAAGTGGTTGTATTGTTTCCCTGTCCCACAAATTACCACAAACTTGGTGGATTAAAACAGCCCAAATATATTATCTTACGGCTCTTGGAAGTCAGGAGTATACAATCAGGTCACTGGTATAAAGTCAGGGAACAGGGAGACGTTCATTTACTTCATCTCAATCCAGAACCGGAAGTCTCGAAGGCAGTTGAATTCTATATATTGACCATGTATGCAGCGATGCAGGAAAACTTTTTAATTAGAGTAGAAGATCTTTACATTATTTGGGATTTTCTACGAACACAACTGTGCAGTCTCTTAGTAATACAATTTTATTCTTATCCACTTCAGAGCTTCTCGCCTTGTTTTGTTTCACTTACTTGGTTGGTGCCTCGAGGGCCCTGGTGAATACAAGTGGTCATACGGAACATACTTGGATCATTGCCAGTCGTAGACGAAAGGACCTCAGGTTCTCACCTGTACAGATGACGTCTAGTGTTGATTGTTAAACATGCCCTCATCAATGAAAGGGAATTCCCTTCTATTTCTGATGCGATTTTATTTTCACCAGGAATTGTTGGTATGTTTTATTGAAGGCTTTGTCTGCATCTATTGAGATGATTATTTTTTACTTGTTCTGTTAGTGTATTGCATTATGTAATAGATTTTTTAAATTTTAAGTTACTCTATCCTTCGAAAAAAAACCCCACAGTATGGTCATGAAGCAATGTCCTTTTAATATATCACTACATCTCATTTGTGTACACTTTGTTTAGGGATTTCCATCTAAGCTCATGTGAGAGATCTTCCTGTGACTTCCCCATGTATAATTCCCTTGTCAGGTTTTGGTGTGTTGAGGTATGTTTCTTCTTTTTCTGTTCTCGGGAAATGTTTGTGCAATTTTGGGGTGTGTGTGTGCATGTGCGTGTGTGTGTGTCCTTCACGAGTACATAAGTGCTCGGAAGAAATCACCAGTGAAGCCGCCTGAACTGCACACTTATACGTCGGACAATGATGACCGTCCGAGCATTTGTCCGCATCCCATCACACAGTCGCCATTTCTTTTTTTGGTGAGAACATTTGAGATCTGCTCTCTTCAAAACACTCAAGAGGGGCTTCCCTGGTGGCGCAGTAGTTGAGAGTCTGCCTGCCGATGCAGGGGACACGGGTTCGTGCCCCGCTCCGGGAAGATCCCACATGCTGCGGAGCGGCTGGGCTCGTGAGCCATGGCCGCTGAGCCTGCGCGTCCGGAGCCTGTGCTCTGCAATGGGAGAGGCCACAAGAGAGAGAGGCCCGCGTACCGAAGAAAAAAAAAAAAAAACACTCAAGAATGGGATACAGTGTGATTAGCTGTAACCACCATGCTGTATATTAGATCCCCAGAACTTATTCATCTTATAACTGGAAGCTTGTGCCCTTTGACCAATATCTTCCCATTTCCCCCTCGCTCTAACCCCAGTAACCAGCATTCTACTATTTCTTTCATTTTGACTTTTCTAGATTCTATATAGTTCAGTCATGGGTAAGTTTTGATTGGAGTCAATGTATAAGATGATAGATTTTCCACTTACTTTGTCCATTTAGTAAATTGTACACTGAAAGATTTCCATTCCATCTACATTTTCTGTATGTTGGCATCAAATTTTTCATAATGTTCTGTTACTATCTTTATAACGTCTGTAGGATTTGTAGTGCTGTCTGCAATTCCTTTCATGATATTAGAAGTGTGTGCCTTCTCTTTCCCTCGGCTGTGGTGGCTAGGATTCATGAATGTTTTCAAGAATGAGTATTTTTTGCCTTAATTGATTTTCTCTACTTTTTGGTTGTCTTCATTATTAGCTACCCTTGTCATTATTATTCCCACCTTCTACCTTCATTTGAAATAATTTGCTATTTTTTCCTGAAGTCTTGGTATGATATGTTAGGTCATCGATTTTTTTAAAGCCTTTTCTAATATATTCATTCATGATTCTTAATTTTCTCATTTCATATGTTTGATGTGTATTATTTACATTATCATTCATTGAAAACATTTTCCCACTTCTGTTTTTTTTTTTGTTTTTTTTTTTTTCGTTATGATTTTGGTTTTCAACTCACACATTGATTTTTGAGAAGTCTGTTGCATTATTTCCCAAATGTAAGGATATTAGTTATCTTTGAGGGTAGAATCAGGTGACTGCCAAAGGGTCCCAGGGGCTCCTGGTGGTCTGTGTTGGGAGTCCAGGCTGTCTGATGGTCGTTAGGTGGTGTCCACTGCGGGCAGGCAGCTCCTGTGCCTTCCGGGGTCCGTGCAGTCTTCCTCCCTGGAGCGTGGGGTCTGGGTCCTTCCTGGGCTAGCGGACGGCGAGAGCAGCATACACGCTGGGCTCTTCTGGGGGCTCCCCTGACTGGGGGGCAGGGGGTGCAATCTCCCGTCTGAAGGTCGAGTGGTTCAGCTGGGCATAGGTCACATCCTGGGGGGCTTCAGATGCGGCGGCCTGCGGTGGGGGAGAGGGAAGGTGTGTGGTTGGGGTGGGGGAAGCCTGGGGGCTCGGACAGGATGGGACCCACCTGACCATCCCTCTGCCCGTCCTCTTCCACTTGTCTGTCCTTCATGTCCAGCAATCTCCCCGACAGGGAGGAAGGAGAGGTGGCCACCCCCCGCCTTAGTCTTGATCTTGAGTGGTTCACCTGGGCGTACGTCCCCTCCTGGGGGTCTGCATCCTGCCTGTTCTGCTGGAGGGAGAGAGTAGGACAGAAAGGGGACTTCCTGGATCCACTGTGATCTCCTTCTGTCAGCTTTCCACTGTGTTGCCAGAGTGATGCTTTAAAACCTTAGGTCAGGTCACTTTCCTGATGGAAACTCCGGGGACCTCCTAACACCTTGGAGCCTCTGGATTCTTTCTACGGTTCTGATTTCTGTATTAGCACGTTATCTCCCTTGCACATTTGGCTCCAGCCGCACGGCCATCTTCCTGCAAAAGCGTCCCTGCCTCAGGACCTTTGCACTTGCTGCCCCCCCACCATGTACTCTGTAACCTTCTCTTGCTTTACTTTCCTTATCGGGACCTTGCATTCTAGGACACTACCTGCTTCTTTACATATAGTCTTCTCACCCACCAGGTGAGCTCCCTGCTGCACCTGCAGCACCTACAGGGAGCCGGGGGGATGCGCTGTCCTTGTGCACCGCTTTTGGGTGAATGAAGGAAGGGGGGCCTGGGGACTTTCAGGTGATTCACAAATCCTCTTGAGACGTGGGGCTTCTCTGCAACGCCAGAAGGTCAGACAGAGGACGGGGAGCCAGGAAAGGGGACCCCGAAGGAGGGGCCATGAGGTCACAAGGAAGCAGGAGGGGTGGAGTCACAGCAGGACGACCCAGGAAGCCCGGAAGGAGAGGTCAGTGTGGGACGCTGCTGGAGCTGGGATGTGAGGACAGAGACGTGTCCATTGGACTGAGTTTGGCAACAAGAAGGTCTCTGGTGGCCTGGACAGGAGCAGGGGTCTCACCGGATGGTCCAGCTGCACCCCGTCCTCAGGCTGTGTGTCCTTCACGGCAGCATCTGCTGGGGCGGAACAGGGTGTGTATCGCTTGGCGGGATCCCCTGAGATCCCTCAGGGCTAGAGCCCCCGCAGTGCGTCCAGAAGGGGCCACTGAGACCCAGGGGTGAGGGGAAGTGTGGGGTTTCAGTCCGCACCCCCTGAGCCCACCCCTTCCCAGCCGTCCCCTCCCCCACACAGGTGCCTCCAGAACCCTGTGTCCCCCACCCCATCCTCTTCTGCTCACAGAGGGCCTGGTCCTGGGTGGCGGCGGCTGGGCAGGAGCTGGGGAGGAGGCGGGCGTGTTAGGGGGAGAATGAGGGGGAGCTGCGGGCGGGGCGGGCCTGGGGGTCTTCGGGGCGGGAGTTACCTGCTCTGCAGGCCTGTGTCCTTGGGCTCTGGGTCTGCAGCCCCTGCGGGAGGGTGGAAATCAGCCTCGCCCTGGGCTGGGGCAGATGACAGAGGCTCGGCCCTGGGACTCTTACAACCCCCGCCCCTCACTCGGGATTCAGGAGGAAAGAAGGAGACCTGAACTCATACTTGCGTACATGTTTCAACACTTCATGAGATTGAAAAGGAGGAAAATACCTTAAATTATACATGTCAGCTGACAGTACGTGTTTTCTTTCTAGATTTTTGAGTTTCAGACTCTGGACAATGTTTTTCTAAGCTGACCTTGCCCATCTCTTAGGTTTCCCTTTGGCTGGTGCCCTGAGCCCACCACCTCCAGGGCCCTGGGTCACCCCGTTCCCTACTCACCCGACTTCCTGCGTCTGCTCTGACCCCAGTGTCGGACGAGGAGGATGA